AGCCGCGTTACCCATTGCTTCAATCACTCGAATAATTAAACTTAACGTAATAAAAGGGTAGTGACCTTCAACTTTATCAAGCAGGCTACAAATAGAATTTAAACAATTAAACACATAACAAAATTAAATTATAGAAACTTTGTAAATGTGTTACACACCCGAATAAAATGGCACAAACGCCTGTTGTGTAGATACCGCCATTGAAGAGAACCTTAGGTCCTATCCGGTTAAGATGTTGGCCATAAAAGGGACTTACGATAAAAACGACCAGTTCAAAGATGCCAAATACCAAGCCATATTCGGTAGCTGTTGCACCTTTCTTTTCAGCCTATTCATTAAGGATAATTTGATTATAGGCAACTGAATAAGCAAATACATTTTGCAAAAAATAATAATAAATGATGCAAGAAGCGTGTGCGCATTGCTTAATTATTAATGCGTATTGAGAATAAGACATCAAATAATTACGCGGCGTTTTATAAAAGTTATCGTCAAATTATAATTTTTAGGTCAAAGTTGTCAAGCGCAAGATTTAAATAGAAAATAAACATTTTTACAGATTAGTTTCAGATTAATTAATTGCGACACATGCAAAACACATGGTTTCATAATAATTTAACTCGTGCATTTTGTCCTTAAAACGAATTAATCTTATTATGACAAAATTTAGATTTAAATTTACTCATTAATGTATTAATTTTTGTTCGAACAAAATGTGAGCAAACATTTATTAACGAAAATAATTGAATTCATAGAAATTATTCTGTAAAATATGATTACAAATTGTTATCAATAAAATCTTATTTTGTTAGATATAGAAATTAATACTACACACAACTGTTAATGAATTTTACTATAAGCTGATGAAATTTAGAGTAATTAATAATTAACAATAAAATATACTAATTTTGCAACCATTTAAGATATTATTAATGAAGACAACACAACATCACAATGAATTCTTGTGTTGTATATTTTATTGTTTTGTTCAGTTCGCCTTTGTACCCTCGCGATTGTGATTTACCTCTTGTGGATAAAATGGTGCCTGAAGTGAAACGCAAATGGCGTTGCAAAAGTCAGCGATTCCGATGACTAGTAACGTCATCCATTGCCGCTTTGTAAACTTCATCCTGTTATCTGTAGTGTATCCTCTGAGTTTTCACAAATTAACAAATGAATTGATTTAAATTGCTTAAATTAATTGACTTAAAATTTGTCCGTAAACTAGTTAAACGCACAACAAAAATTGCTCAATTCTTTGAGTATTAAATAATTCGCGTAGAAGAATATTCGATTGATCATATTGTCTCACCGCGCGCCCGAATCATGGCTAATTCGTGGGTCGAAACCGGATCTCACTGAAGTGGTGCAACGCAATAAATTAATTATGGCTGCTAGTAAGTGTAGCGCGCCGCGGTATCAGTGCCGTTTGGTGGTTGGTGACGAACTGAAGACGGCATGCCGGACATGAGACGAACGAGACGGACTATGTGCGACATTTGACATTTTTCTCGCCTTCGACGGGCACTGCTTGCGTATCGCGCGTGTCAGATTTGCGATAAGAAGAGTTCTCCGTTTGCTATCGAGCGGTTGATTGGCCTTTGCTGTTTCAGCGGGAAGATTTCAAACACATCAAATACTGGAGGACGTGCTTTCTTGCGGAAAGTAATCGGGAATTATCAAATTTGTTATTTGATCTGTTAAAATGATTGATAACAGAGAAATTAAGAGTTAAATATTTAGATAATTAATAAATCAAAATATTCTTGAATGATGTTTAGTTTTATTATACATTTTAAAATATTTATTAAACTTAATTTTAAACTTAAAACTATACACAAATTATTTCCATGTTATGCAACCCAATGCTCAATTAATTTTTCTTAATTCCGCGATGTTTAAAACTTAAATTTTACATACTTGTTTGGTAAATATGCAGTTAATCTACTATTAAATTATTGCATAGATAATTTATGCAAATAGCAGACTTAAGTACACAAATTAATTGTGTGCACGCATAGCATGGGCAACACATCGACACCAGAATAAAGTTCAAAGTTTAACGCGTTCAATAATAATACCATTCGTCGATAATGCGCGCATTGCTTCTCCTTTTAATTGACTTCGGCTTGTGCAAATGTGTCCGTATGCACTTAATAAGGTTGTCATGCGAATTTTTCCACGGGTTGTCAAACACGCATTGATTAAGTGCGCAAAAATGTAACATTTTAAGTTGTCAAAACAAAATTACTCAATTTTCAAATCGTTTGAATGAAGCACATAAATCTGAATTAAACTAGAGTCAATTTGTAATGAATTAGTATGTCAAAACATGTTTGATTGTTATGATTTTATGGAAATATGTTAGATGTGATAAATAAATATTTGTTATGAATTGTTATGAATGGTTGCTTCGTTGATGGAATTTTTATACTTTATACGACAATATTAGCAATCTTATCATTGAATATTTTATTTATTGATAATTTATTGAGGAAAATTTTCACCTCAATGTGCAATTATAATTTAAAAGCTTAGAATAGTTAAATTATAGCATTTGCGTCTTTCATAAATTGATATCATTTTGAACTTGAATTTGTCTATGTAGTAAGGTCGTGGACATTAATCGCAGATTTGTTATCGGGCAGTTTTTGGCTCCGTTATGATGATGCAAACATTGAGCAAATTTCTTCGTAGATTGCGTTGTTAAAATTAAATCAGCTAATGTGACTTAATGATAGTGGCATGGTTAAATCAATTTTACACTTGCAATTAATACGTTATCAATCCAGCAAATATAGTCATAACAAAACCACAGCGTTTGAACTTAATTATGTACTAATGAAACATATATTTTAATCTAGTTGTTTTATTTCTGCGATGAGAGTTTAAGAATTAACATACTCGAGCGTAAATCCGGTTTTAAATTTAATTGTCACATACTCTATAAGATTCATTTAAAACTTTTTAAGAACATTGTTGTTAATAAATATTATTGAGTGGTGTTTAATCGGGAGGTAGCAACATTGTAGCTAATCAAATTTAATTACCAGTGTAATGCAATAATATGATATTATGTTTATTTTTTTGTATAAATATCTTTGATTGTTAATTTTTTTTTTTTGTTAAAAATGTGTGTGTTTAATAGTATTTTTTATTCTTGCTAGAAATCTTTTAAAATAGTTGTTCCATGGTGTAATAGAGTGATAACTTCATTGACATTCCGACGGAAATGCATTTGAAAGTGCGGCTACACCAAATTTATTGCCGTTTAATGATTAGTCACAAATCTGACTCTATTATAAGCACAAAATGTAATAAATAATAACATCTTTGTTTTGATTTATCTACGATTGATTCTATTTTTAGATCAAGCAACACCGCATTCAAAAATATTTATACCAATTAATTATTTTATGTACAATTTAAAATTGCACTAATATAGTGACCATGATGCGGGTTTCTGTGGAGACAAAGTTTGGCAGGGCAACTAGTTAACTAATAAAAACAAACCACCCCATTATTTTGAGGAGCTCTTAATTATCAAATTTAATCAACTTTTCACTTAATAACACTAAGAATTTTTTCTGTAGATGTCAATAAGTAAAACGGATTTTCCCATAGATATTTAAGAATCAATTATCTCAGGAACCAGAAGTGATAAACCAAAACCGAAAACACTATGATGCTTAGTATGATATTCGTTTAAAAATTTTCAAAAATAAAATATGCTTAAAAAATTTTCCACCGCAATTTTCACAGAAAGTAATAAAGTTAGAATAAAACTTGCTTCACTTTGTTCATGTCGTGATAAAGATCTACAAAATGGCAGATTTAGTTTTTTAATTTTCCAAAGTTGATCAACAACCAGTAAAAAGGTATGAATTGTGTTAAGAGACTCTCGAGCTTTAACATGACGTTGAAAAACATTAAAAAAATTAGTTAGTTTAAGAGAAACAGGGCGATTTCCACATCATGTTTTCAAATTTTCACAAAATTGCCAACTTTTGAAGGGTATTTCAGGGCAGTTCTAAAGGGCCTAGATTGCTGAAATAAAATGCATCGTAAAGAGAGTCTATTGCACTATAATGTGACGTTGAAAACCTTTAGGAAAGTCAATCAATTCAGGTGATACCGGGTGTTTTCCACACAATGTTTTTAAATGTTTTGAAAAATGCTTATTTTTAAAGGGCATTTTAGCGCACTTCTAAAAGGGCTAGGAAGTTCAAAAGGCTTGCATTGCGTACTGAAACTTTCCAGCTCTAGCATAGCAGTGAGATACTTTGAGAAAGCCAATTAGTTTACGATATACAGGGTGTCTTCCACACTATGTTTTAAATTTTCTAAATATACAGTTAGGTATATAATTTATAGAATTTTTATATTAATATAAGGATGTATACATATCAATTTACAAAAATCTATTCATATATTTTGTTCATATTCTAAAAACATCTCTTATCAAGCAAATGTGCGCACGATATTAATAAGTCTATATTTTATAGAAATATTATCAGCGATAAAGATATAACCGGTTTAGAATAAACTTCCAAACCATCTATCAATCATTGTTAATTTTAAGCGCCACGCCATGCATTATTTCAACATGATAAAACGTGTTACAAATCTTGTCCGGAGCGGAAGTGAACCAGAAGTCAAATCTTCTTATCGCAGAAGTACTGATGCGTAATAAAGAACAGAATAAAACTAGTGTCAAATAAACATCAATATACACAACTACGTATTGATAGTCATTTCCAATTCAATTTAAATAGAAGATTAATTTGTACTTAGAAATAAATTATTGAACTTATCAATCACAACTTGTCATATTTAAAGTGCACACTTAACCGAATGTTAGTGTGACTAAACCTAATTATAATCTGGTCTTAAATATACCTTTAATGTTTATAGTTTTTGGTAGTTTTATCTAAATAGTAAGTAGATGTATAAAAATATTCAATACCGAAGAAAATACAAAAGAAAATGTTTTGGTCTGATAAAATTAAAGTGATAAAATGTGTTTAAGCATCTGGCAGCCAGATTTTAAGCGGAATCTGTAAAAAGGCACTGTTGAGGAATGCCTTGAAGTGTTGTGAGATGGCTTTAGCTGCCGCTGGTTTCATTTCTCGGATGATTTCGTCGGAATTATTGTTGAGGAACTGATTGATTGCTTCGCCGATGATATTACCGCTGTTCACAACATCACGCACGCGGAATCGTGATTTTCCGAGCTTAAAGTCCGACAACATGCGTTCGATCTTCATAAAACGAACATTGTTTTTGTTTTGTACTTCTTTACCATAGATACGTGTCAAAGCATCCACATCAACTACAATAAAAAATAAGTTAAACATTAATTTTAGTTAATGTAGAAATATATTATGTAACTCACGGAAAACAGCCCAGAAATTTCCCTTCGACCGCACTGGGAACAGCAGTACATTACCATTAACTTCGTACTTTCCACGAATTTCGATGCGAGGTAACTTGATACCGAGTTCAATGTTGTAATTCTCTACATCAGCCCTTAAACAACAGGATAACAACTTAAAAATTGAATTATTGCTGTGATGATGAGGAATATGTTGAATGTATATGAATATTATGCAACCAAATATGCATTTACTGCAAGAGTGAGTATGGTTGTATGATTTATATGATTTGTATAATTTAGGAGGTTTTATTATCTATTATACTTAATCCTGCCGATTGTGTAATTGCTCGCGCCTGTAACGGTGATGTTGGTGAACAAGGCGCGCACGCGGAAAGCTCCGTGCCCATTCTCAATCAGCATACGTTCGATGTGCAGCGGATCAATGCTCGGCACGTTCAGGTCGGTGAGACCGTTCACCAGGTACGGCCGCAGGTGGTTGAATGTACCTATCAGACAAGTGTTCAGTTCTGGATCTGCTTTCTTACACGGCAGAATATATTCAGCTAAAACAAAAGAAGAAATTTAAAATTAATTTTTGTATTTTGAATTTTAACCTAACTTTTGTCAAATTTTGGACAGTATAACTTTTGCGTACCCTAACGCCATCTTTCGTGCTTGATGTACAACATAAAATTTAATCCAATTCATTTATAAATAACTTGTCAATAAGTCATATGTTTGAAATAAAACTAAACGAGTCAGTAACTAAGTAAGTAGGTAAGTATGCGAGTGTGAATTGCGACAATCTCGACACGATTCCCATTACTCATTTGCTGTGATCAACGCTGTCGAAGTTTTATCGCTTTGCGCCGCTGTTGGAAGAAAATAAGAAAATGGTGCGCATTTGACCCACTTGGTCCACTTGGTGTTGCATAAAGTTCACACATCGAGTGCCGTTCGCCGACACAGACACAATGATAGTGAAAGCGACGGCGTGCGCTTCTTGTACTTTCGATGCACAGCCGAAGCCAACCGCGAAATGCAACGAAATGTGCAAATGTGCATTGCGTTGCCGGAATGTGGCCGACTGAAGTCTGAGAGTGCAAGAGCTCTTGCTTTCAACTTGCAATTAGCCCGCTGGCGGAGGCACACCAAGCGCGCTTTTCGCTCAAATAAAAAACCTCATCAGCGCGGAAATGACGCAATTGCAAACTGCGAATGTTTTGCGCTCAATTATGTAATTGACGCGCATGGCGAGTGGAAACTCAAACGCCCGATCCAAGCAGAAAACCTAGTAACACTATAACATTGAAACAATTAAATTGTATCCGATCCATAATTACACTTGTAAAAACACATGCTTTCTTTATGGTTTACACTAGTGACACGCACTACATGATACCGCAGTTCTTTTTAGGTTTTGAGCGCACTAAGTTTTTTCTTACGCGTTTGTCACTTTAGCAATAAATAAATATTTACTCCAAGAACTTTCTTTTACGTGTATTATGTAGGAATATGTAACAGCTAATCGAACAGTTTTCCTGTACTTTCATTTTTTATTGCACCGAAAGTAAAAAAATCGAGCTAGTAATTTAATTCGATAAGTACTAGTGGTAATGTAACACGTTATAGGGACTCCACCTGTAACGTGACTTTTGCCGACGCAGATAATCACGGATAAAACGTGCTGTGAGCCGTGATTGCATAATTTCTACCGCAAATTTTGATCGCTGGCATTTCATGCGCAGTTTAAAGTGTTATAAAATATTACACCGCATATTATTAAACATTATCAAACAAACGAATTTATTCGAAATTATTTAGAGTTATGCAACTTAATAAACATGCAACATTCAGGATGTTCTATAGTATTACTATTATTTCCATTAAAAAGCATCAACATTTTAGTAGTATGTAATTTGTTTACATTGTTATGCTGGTCAGTGCCTGTAGGTGTGTTCATAGTGATGTTGAAGCAAAACGTACAAAACGTACGACGCTGTGACATAATGATGGCATTGAACCGGTGAATAAAAAAGTATTGATAAATAATCGGCAATGAGCCGAAATAGCAATGAAGACGATTTATTGCAGGGCAATAATACTCACGAGGGATTGTGTAATATTATGATCGTGACATGAAGAAATTTCCAAGTTGACATAGATAATTCCAATGACAAATAATTATTAGATTATATAAATATACAATATTTAAATAATTTAAGGACTTACGTGTGATAAATGTAGTAATATTATCTACCACTGGTTGCTGTTGTCCATAACTGACACCAACGAGGAACAATACACCCAACACAATCATTTTATTCGACATTTTAAAGATTTAAATAAAATTTAGATTATTTCAATTTTAAAAATCACAAAATCATTTATAATTATAAAATATTTTTTTCTTTAGTTTTATAAAAAAATGTAGTTTATCACGTTGTTTTATTTATTTATTTTTTTGCTGCGCGTGTGAGATACTGGCATAAACAAATTCGACGTGTGATACGAGTTTATGTCACACGCGCTGAACGGGAGAAAGTCTGCGCGTCTTTTGATTTTATACCTCCGACCGACGACCGGCGATCGTTCATGAAACAGGGATGATGAAGAAGGGGTTTCCCATGAATAGTAATATTATTCTAAACATAAATAACAATTTAAAATATTTTAATGTTAAATGTTGCTTTTTAAATTATAAGGGTATTAAATAGGTTAATCCTTACAAATATATATTATAAATGCAAAGATGAGTTTGTTTGTTTATTTGTTACGCTTTCCAGCAAAAACTATTGAATCAATTTCGATAAATTTTCGTACAGGGATACTTAACATTATGGAAAAGCAAATAGGCTACTTTTTGTATCAAAAATAAAACGTTAAAAGTGTAAACTTAAGAATCAAAATTAATTTTAAGATGCAATCATTGAAATTTATTATTTCTATAAATTAAAATTGAAAGTTTTATTTTTACGACAGAATTTACAAAACTAAATAATAAATTAGCAATTTTGATATTTGCAGATGATGGGTTAGGACGTGTCAATGGTCAATATTTTCAATAAATGTTAAATTATATAAAATAAAAACATTTTTTTTATATTTATTCACAAATAGTGGCCATTTAAACATTTAAATATTGTACATTAGCTAAGTAATTGCATAACGTAAAAGTTCATTAATATCACAATGAGTATGATGTACAAGATGAGTCTAATTGACCAATCGGGCATGTGGTGCAAGAGTGAGGCTGTATTTCAATGCGTAATGTCACGGTAATCACTAGTTTAGTGCCACCGTTACGTTAAAGGTGATTTTCAAAGTATCATTTATTGCGGGTGCGCAAATGTTTACAATTTGTTTTGTTTTTCGTCGACGCATACACCAATGACATAATTTTTAGATTCTGTTCCGTTCTTACATAATATTCAAGCATAGCATAACATACAATACAATATACATCAAGTTAAATTATAAGCCATAATAAAATAAATAATTATTTTCATGATAAATATAAATAATATTTTTATTCGTTTTTTTTTCTGTTGCGTTTTATGATTTGTGGTTATGTACAATATGTATACGATGCAATCAATGCACAAATGACATAAGAGACTGTGGTAAGCATCTTCTCAATGCGTCTTGTTAACAAAGCAGCCAACCGTCCGAATGCAAAGTGCATAATGCACAATGTGTGCCTAGACAATGCCGGAAAACGATACAAACATTGATTCATGCATTCCATGTTACGTTAATTGTGTAACAATTAAGCAATTTGCTTAATTAAAGAAAATCTTATTCATATCGATTGCATAGGCGTGAACTAACCTAGAAATTCACAGACCAGATTATGTTACACACAAAACTAACCTCAAAATACATCTATTGCATATTTTCATTTTCATTATTTTCATTTATTGTCATCTTTGACATAACAACGCAATTAGGAACAAAAAAAAACGTAGAATTCTTGGAGCATTTCACGTTCCATTTCATTCTCATCTACAATGTTATGATATCTGATGATGTGACTGCATAATTTCGTCTGCCTGGCTAATAATTTGAAGACGAGCTTCATGAACGCGTTTATGACGCACTTCTTTGTCTCCGCGAATATTCCTAGCGACTCGGTAGCTTCGGAAGAAAACGAAGCAATGTCGCGAAATAATGGTACCTACACGCCAGAATAAATAAACCAGCGGTGCGTAGATGACACGGATTAACGGAAGCGTTCTACTTTCGCTAGTAAAATAGCAAAGTTATGCGTAGTCTGGTGAAAATGTGCGTATTTATTACCGGTAAAATTTGTTGATGACTGCCGGTTGCCTTTAACGTGAGACCTGCTAAATATCTGGTTGACCAGTATTCTTAATAGATTGGTAGTGAATTCTAATCGGTGTTGAAGTAATTTGACCAATACCCCGTATTGCGTGTTGCAATATATTTATTTTTAGTAGTTACTTCAACGCATGATATGCGAAATACTTCGCCAACTTTCAACGATCTGCACATTTAATTGCAATTGTTTACGTGGTATATTTGTCTGATGTATTCAGCCGATGATGGCTGACGTCGTACTCCAATACGCCGACTGCGTGTGCTATATCTTTTGCCCATTGGCGCTTTATTCGACGCTTGTGTTGAGTTTTTCGCATTTTCTGACGACCAATTGTGGCAAACTAACGAAATGACACAGCTATAGTGCGGCTTTCAGAATTTCATTTGCTGCTGAAATTTCTTATTCTTAATATAACGGCAACCATACACACAGCTGTTTTAAAACATTTTCGGTAAGTAATTTGTAAATTGAAATTGCGGCCAATATGGTATTTCAACTGATCAGTAATATATTAATGATGCAACTTTACCAATTATGTTTGTGCAAGTATTGCGTGTTCATCATTTACAACGTGATCTACGTCAACGCAAGTAACCATGTAGATCGAATTTCGAATAACGACTGATTGGACACACATAGTGTCATTTTAACATTTGAAACAGTATATTCTCAATTGACTCAAAATAAATTATTATGCAGGTACTAATAATCATACTGGTGATAGATACTGTAAGGGCGCGTCTGATGCTTTTCGGCCCCTATTCACCATTGTCGATTTTAGATGGGTGGTGGCTTGTGTCATTTGCGCATTTTGTCTTTCTGTCACCAGTGTCGTTTGAGTGGCTTCTGTGGCCGTTCGGATATAAATTGATTCAGTTAAGAGTTGGGCGATAGTAAATATGCTCGTTATTGGTTTTCGTACGTTTATTTGTTGTTGTTTGAGTCTTGTGTACCGGTTCATTATGATTTTGGACCTTCATCGCGTTTTGTCATCATGATTAGCAATCATTGATAACCATTCAGATCGATTGATTAACATTCAATGACTGTTTGGGTTATTGATCGCGCGATCTTGGCTTTCAAATGGCTCTCGATTTACGGTTTCATGGTTGGGTGGAAATGGACGGCTTTATTATCTAAAGGTCGTTGATCATGATACCAATTCGTTTGTTAGGAGCATTTGGTATCCAGATCAGAGTAATTGTCAAAGATAAAACATTTGTGAAATATATCTATCATCTTAAATCGCTGATTTCATCTTGGATACCAAGAATATTATCAATAAATTCACATTTATATAAGTACTACTCGTATAACAAAAATCCTATAATTTTTTCGCATCATTTGTCAATTTAAAGCATTTTTCCAATGCATTCTTTGATAATAGCTTCCCAACACAATACAATTCTAATACACAAATTAATTTTATGAAACTCCCGAAAATCTAAATAATTTAACTCTTTTTCTCTGTTGCATTTGAATCATTTTCTTGCGGTAACCACAAATCCGTAGGCAACTTTGTAAACACGTTGTTTATGATGTCTTTGAATATCTGCGCGAGACTTTCACCAATCGGTTCTTCCAATTCTTGCACGATTTCCAAACCGTGTTGATTCAAGAATGTGTTCACCGTTAAACCTACAAATAAAATATGTAATATGTAAATTAGGCCAAGGTCAAGAACATATATAAACCTAACCTATTTTAAAAGCTCTTTGAGTAAATAATAGTTACTCTACTTACCTAAAACCTTATTTCCATTGAACAAGTTATCTAATCGAACCCGAATTTTCTCCACAGTGAATGATACTCTCATGTTATCAATCTCAAAATTTCTTTTCCTTCTTTTGATGCATACTGATTTCAGCCTTGACTTTTGTATCCACTCCGGCTAGTTTCATCTCACAATTGCCGTGTCCCACCAGAGGCAAGATTAGAATATGTCCTTTTAGGTTATATTTTGATTTGATGTCCAGTAGAGGCAAATATATTCCAAAATTAAGTTTTCTTTTGCCAAATTTATACTAAAACAAAAGTACAGCTTAACTAATAAGTAAATAAATTCAAGTTGCGTTAAGTGTTAATAAATGATCCGTTAGAATTTCTCTTACATGCGTGACATACGGCACACTTCCGATAGTATTAATTATGATGTCTGCTGAATAATTGGATGTCAGTTTATGTTTGCTTATTTAATAACTTATAACTCTTCATATTATATATGCATATTTTTGACATAACGCTAATAAACACTAATAAATTTCACATATAGTTACTCAACACGAACTTTACTCGACGATAATTTGACTTATTCAACACCATTTTAATATTACATAAGCTGGGAATTAATTTCCTACCAAATTATTAACTATTATACCATTTTTTTAACTGATAGACCTTTTAAAAATCTATTTGGGATGTTAACCTAACCTCAAATTTAACCTACATCAACACCACCGCCATCTCTTGGTAAAATGACAGTCAAACAGTAAAATTAAGTGAAATTAAGAATATTTACTCGGTATAAGTTGGTGTGGAGTTTGATGGACCAACAACAGTTAAATTAAGAAAACTTCCCGATAAAGTGACAGCACCCGAGCCTTTTGTCACTGATACCTTATCTAAATACAGCGGCTCAAACGCATCGACGTTAATCTCATCAATTCCTAAAAGAAATGTATGATATTATACCAAAACAACGTTTATTTGATTAAAATTAATAATAATCATAATTACCTTTTGCTAATGCAGGAAACATGACATCAAATAAATTGTTTAAACATTGATTTAGTTTAGGATCCGAACGACGACATTGTTTCAACCATGGCGCTAAAATATTTGTGAAGAAAATAAATAAATTTGTTTTTAATAATTATTTTCATACATACGTCTGTAAGTAAGTAATGGACCATCCTTAACTTGATAACACACACTTAAATTAAGGTAATTTACAATAATAAATAATGTAATAATAAATGTATAAGCCATATTTCAAATGGTGAACACAAATTTCGAAAAATTCACTTTTGGCAAAAAAAAATCAGTTAGATGTGTTGTATTAAACCACCAAGTTTCGACTAATCCACTATCGCGTACTGAATATTCCTTTAAACGTCGATAAAGCCCCGGTAAAAATATAGCAGTGAATAAATCTTGTAGTGGTAACAAATTATCTTCCACTAAACTTATGCTTGCACTCACACCACAACTAGATTCTTTTCACCTCGTTCCGCTATGCCTATGCGATGCAATTTACCACTTGCAGAAATATACCCCTCTACCAGGCGTCTTCAGTATTTTACGTAATATGTAGTTATGGTGAGGAAAAGACCTAAGAAGGAAAAATGCGGTTTGTCATTCCCAGCCGCAATTCGGACACAAGACTAACAGCATGGGAGGAAGTAGCAAAACAACATAATCCGATGTAACGAACTCTGCGTTGATTATTACAACATAGCGTAGAGTGTCTAGTGTCTAGCGTCTTGCGTCTTGCGCTAAGAAAGTGAAAGTGTTATCTTGCATTTCTTTCTTGAGGATTATGGTTGCTTTGCGCTCGATTCGACCAATTGGAGGAGACCTGTTGCTAAAGCGTGTCGGCGGCTGTGTTTTTCTTTTTTAGGTCCGTTTAGTGGTTTACACACCGTGTTGATGTTGCTAATGAGGACGAACGTTCATAGAGTGTGCAAGAGACTTTTTTCAGAAGTCAGGTTTATGTCGTTAAAGTCCAGTTACAATAATAATTTGTGTTCGGTCATTTTGGTTTTAATCTGGAGAAACACCATGACATTTTGGATTTTGCAATTCTAATTGCTACTATTTCTATTACAACAAAGATTAATCAAATAAAAATAAATATATGCATCAGATATTTCATATATGTTTTTAAATGTCAAAGAAAAACACAAAATACATAATTGCGTTAGTTACACCATTTATAACTCATTAACGACTGGATAGATTTGGATGATTTTTGATTTTTGGGATTCGTTTCTATCCGGAATAGTAGAATATCTATTAAAATTTTAAAAATTATGATTTAAAGGGTGTTAAACAAGAGTTGGTAATTGGTATAAGGATTCAATCACAGTAATAACTAAACAATTTACTCCCAGATGGCGCTAAAGTGCATTATTGGCATTTCTCCTTTTTTTAATTTTGCAAAAAATTAACGGAATTATATATTTCCTATACTAACACTCAAAACTCTTTGAAAGTGCATTGTCAATTACATAATAATAAATTTATATGTATATAAAATACCGTTTTATTGTATATGATAATTAGAAGTGAGTTTATTGCACGCATAGCGCACGCGACGAGAGTGAATAATATTGCGCAAATAAATGTGTATTTAGTATTTTTCGCACTTTCACAAATAGCAATCATATAAGTTACTACGACACTATCGCCGTAATTGCGCTAATTATGATAAAAATGTAAACAAAGTAATGACGCAAATGCTTACACCAGCACAAAACTAGACGTATAATATGTTTTGATTTTGTAATTGAATTAATTACTCAAATAACAATATTATTTATTCACTGAGGAAGTAAAACATCCAAAGGAAATTTATGAAATATTTTGTTAGCAAACTTTTGAATATCGAAGCGATAGTATCTTCTAACACTGGTTTAATTTCGCTCGAAACTTGTTTCCAATTGTCGTTGAGGAACAAGTTCATGGCTTCACCTATAAAATTATTAGTTATATATGATTATAAAACACTTTTTAAATAAATTTTTATATAATATTACCTAATTCCTTATCGCCGTTGAACAAATTATCCAACTTGATTTCGGCGTAACCAATATTAAAATCCACAACAAAATCTTTGATGTTGAAATAAACATCGTCGCCTTTTTAATTTGCTGACCTTGCATGGTTATCGTCACGTCAATATTGCCTACAAATGCATTTAATCAATTCAATTGCAACAAGCTACTCAAATTCTAATTGCATGCACTTCATTTATTCGCTAAACAATCACTGATAATTTTTCGATTGTTACACGCAGTAATGGCATGGTTTAACAATGTATGAACACGCAATACACGTGCGTGGAACAGGAAAAAAAGACGTAAAACTTACTGTAATTTCCATGACTTTCACCAGAACCGGAAATTGGCATCATCAAGATTTTTCCTTGCAGTTCATACTGGCACATTACTTCCAGTTTGGGCAGCCATAGCTTAATTCGGACTCGATTTTTTTCTAAATCAATTCTAAAACAAAACATTTTTTTGTTTTAACCTTTTTTAGGATATTTTAATTTAAATTTATTTACCTAATGCTTTTTAATGTGAAATCTGTCGGACCAGATACTTGGATGTCCTTGTAGCTGGACTTTATTGATAGAGGTCCGGCGCCTTGATCGATTACTACTTCCGGAATGTGCAAAGGTTCACAACTTGGTATATCAAACTCTGGAATTCCTTTTCGAAGCAATGGACGTAAATTCTCCACGGATTTTTTTATGCAATCGTTTAGATGTGGATCATTTCTTTGACAAATATTTAAGAAACTTGCTAAAAATATAAATAAAAAATATTTTAAATATTTTTAATGCATAGTAGTTGATTATACTTACGTAATTTATTTTTGTTTCGTTTTGCATCGATTTTTATAAGAATAAAAATGACTAAAAGACTTAAAACAAGTTTAACATTAAAACAATTCATTATGTTTCTAAAATATTTTATAAACATTTATACAACATGCTTAAAATAAAGCTAAACTACTAATGAATTTATTGCACGTAGAAAATAATTGATGACGTTGTATTGCATTGTATTTTTTTTGCTGAATTTACATTTTTCTTGAAAACGTGTGCAAATGGGTTGAATTTAATTTTCTGGAAACATTTCATCATAACTAAACTTTTCAAACAAATTTCTTGCAATGGATTCAATCAACGCCGAAATAGATTTAGCAATATCAGGTGCAATTTCATTATCAAATGCATTGAAATTATCGTTAATTAATTTATTAGTAGCCGCATTAAGTTCGTCTTGTTTTTTGAATAAATTTTCGATATTTATCATGCCTGTTTTAGCTTTATACTCAACATGAATATAATCAATGTCCAAATATGTTTGTTGGTTTCTATGTACTGGATGACTTTTTGCTTCGATGTTTATTGTTACATCACCTGGAACATATAAAACACATACAAAATATTAATAAAAATAATAGAATATTTTTAATAGGTACAATATAATTACTAGCGTTGACGTAGCCATCTCCATCTCCTTTGAAAACCAATCCTAGTAATTTTCCATCAGCTTCATATTGGAACTTGGTAAATACATACGGAACTGTGAGATTTAATACTAGTGAATGTCCTAGTTTTAAATCACCTCCAGCTACGTTGAGTGCAAGTAGATTGTGCACGTTTAAGTTTTTGAGGTTAATATTTAGGTTATGTCCTATGATGTCTAATGAAGGCACGATTAGAGGATCCATTGGTGGTATGACTAAACGAGGAATGCCTTTAGCGAGATGTTCACGACAACGTTCTACATTATCAAGGACACATTTGAGTGCATCTGAATCTGAATTTCGCTTACAAACGTTTATGAATGATGCTAAAAATACAATTATATTACTATTAAAAATTATGGGTTAAGACGGTGACTAAAGAACTTTAGTCACAGGTTTTAGTCACGGGGCGGAGCTTGCCCCCGCGCGTTTGTCTACTGTGCAGCATAACACCAAATGAAATGTAGCAGGCGCTACTGCTGCTCGTAGTTAAACGTTGTTAAACACTCGATTGATAAAATACTAGCTGTGTTCGCTCTTAATCAATCTCGTAACAAAAATTCCCGTTTAGCCACTTGATACTTAATATACTATTATAATATAGGGGAAGGGGGGGCAAAATGGGCCCTTGGGGGCAAAGTGGGCCCCCTGAAATTCAGGAGGCTTAAAAAATTGAGGGCCAAAGTGGCCCCTAAAATCTTTGATATATAAGATGAAGTTGCAAGAACAACTTATCCAATAAATACCTAACACAAAAATACGTGTAAATAAAATACAATTTAATCATTTTTACCCATTTCCCAAAAGAGATGTTCAAAATAATCTAATGTTAAATATTTAATGTGTGTTTAGTTGCATAACTCATACTTCTTAATATTTTTCTCACATTAAAGTTTGACTACTGTTCCTAAATTTCCGTTTTAAATGTTTTCCCTGTTTGACACCCTTTGATTCTATTTTGATTGACACGTCATTATAATAATATCCTGCCGTGATCGCGCACTCAACGCTCTCATTGTGAGCGTTGACGTTCAACCACAGGAGAATAGAGTACCTAAAGGTGGAGCACGCCGTAAAGTGTTTTCCTATTATTTACGCTATTTACATTTTCTCGTTGTCATGCTCACCTTTTACACCTCCGCATTTAGCGTTCATGTCAGTTTTTTTGTTTGTGGTCTTCCACCCCGGACGTTGGTAAGTATAAATAGCATCCGTGATTTTATCCGCCCTGCAGTTTGTGATTTGCATTCACCTAGTCTAGTCTACCCTAAATTTATTACTTATATAGAAGATTATGGGTAAATTTGAGTATTTTTTGTTGTTTCGAATATATTTTTGTTGCTTTTTGGTTAAAAAGGACGAAATTTGCCGGCGCCTGTTCCTTGTCGAGTTTGCGGTGATCGTTCTTATGGAAAACATTATGGGGTTTTCTGCTGTGATGGTTGTTCCTGTTTTTTCAAGAGAAGTATTCGTCGAAATTTGATTTACACTTGTATAAGTAAGTCTATTGTTCCTATATCTATTTTAAATTTATAATATAAAAATGAATCGGAAAATCTCTCATAACTCAACAACGCCTTCACTAATTTGGCCAATTCTTTTTTTAAATGTTCGTTAAAGGCCAAGGATGGTTTTTACGGCGAGAAGAATTCGAATAATTGCCGGGAAAACCCTAAAGACAGCCCTTTTCTATAGTATAAAAGTTGGCATTGAGATTCAAGCATAGTTATAGTTAAATAGTTGAATCCGAGATAGTGCGCTGAAGTGCATTATTAGCAATATTTTATATAATTAATTTCTTTAAAATAAAATTGCAAATCTTATTGATAGAATTGACACATACCTACTAGAAGGTTGCTTAAGTCGTACCGTCACGTAAGTCATAGGTATCTCGGTCTTTTCTCTAACTAGAAGGCACTTTATGCAACTTAAAATGCTGTATTCGGGCAGCATGAAATCATACTAGAAGCATATTCTTTAATCAGTTCCCGCCGAATCAGTATTGAGAAGTTATGCGCAAAAATAGTTTTGCTCCTCGTGCTCATCCAATTTCTCGTGGAGCTTGAATGCATTGATGGTCAGTAAAATACCACTAAATATGTGTTGCATGTTAAATATTGGTTATACATCTATCCATGTATTGTTTTCTACATGGATTTTGTTAAATATTTCTTCTGATATATTGTTTAAAGTTGTTTTGAACGGAAAGCACATGTTTGTTAAGTCGTACCCGTTTGCGCTTTTTAAGTCGTACCTATATAACATATGGGACTCAAGGTTTCAGCTGCGCCACACAAAATTAAGTAGTAGCTTGAAACACAAATGCCACATCGACACAATTCATAATTATAATTAAATAATTAAATTCAAAACGCGCCATTAACGTATGCAATTTAGGTACATTAGACTCAGATTTGGCAATATATGCAACTTATTTAACAAATCCGTCTTTAAATAATACTTCAACTTGAAAAACACCAAAATGCTTATTTATTTTTATCATTTATTACAATTATATTTATTATTATCTTTCCCAAAGAAAATAGAAATATTTACTTGCATTTTACCTTCATTTTGTCTTACGTCTTCTAGAAATACAAAACTTGCCTAGTTACTTAATAATTTAATACTTTGAATACGTTGAATGTTAATGTGCGGATATTAATCTAAAAGCATTTTTACGATTGCTTGTAAAAAGATCAAATATGATCGAATAAGAACGAAAGTATACGCTTTTTATAATGTTCATAATGAGTTTATGAACTTAAGAACGCCAGGTAATGTGCGTTTTATTACATGGCGATAATAACATGCGCGCGGTGTAGTAGGTACGCACTGCTTCTGATTACCTAAATAAGCTGCGTTTTAATGGGTTAATTCGTTGATGCGTCCAGTGCGTCGTTAATTCCGATGGGTGCGTTTACGACGCACGCGCTTTTGCACATTTGCGCAAAAAGTGCGAAAAACATCTTTTGACCGCAATACAACAAGTTTACTTAAGTATATAGAATTTTATTCGTTTTTAATAACTAGGTATTTCATGTGAGTTTATTATTTGTGTTTAATTCGTGAGTAATGAAGAAAATTCATTACTTTTTTAAGAATTTTAGGAAATATCTTCTTTAAGAATAAATATAATAATGTGAAACACGTGGTACTGTGTCTAAATGTTTATTTATTTTGATTTTAATATTAAATTATTCTTAATTCGAAGAGCATGAGATACAGAACAAAATTTTAATTGTTTTGTTGGTTGCATACCACTATGGAAGCGCATTTCAAATCAGTTTCTTTATTTCTTTCATTTTTTAACAATTTCAAGTATTTTCTAGTAAATAAGGTTAAAAAAACAAGGAACTAATTTGTCTGTGACACGGAATAGTTGTCACTTTGATACATTTGATATTATCCGTATATTATCCACAAAATACCAATTTTCTTGCACTGTTTTTATGACTAACTAGCTTTTGCCCGCAATTTCGTTCCGGTAGTGTTTAATAAAAATGTAATTCGGTTTTACTCTCTTCTTCTAGACATAGTATGTGTCAATTCTATCAATAAGATTCGCAATTTTATTTTAAACAAATTAATTATATAAAGAATTGCAAATAATGCACTTCTGCGCGCCATCTCGGATTCAACTATTTAACTATAAATATGATTGAATCTCAATGCCAACTTTTATCCTATAGAAAAGGGCTGTCTTTAGAGTTTTCCCGGCAATTATTTGAATTTTTCTCGCCGCAAAAACCATCCTTGGACTTTGACGAACATTTTAAAAAAGAATTGGCAAAATTGGTCGAAGGGTTGTTGAGTTATGCGCTTACCAATACATTTTGCGAATCATTTTTATATTATAAATTTAATTAATTTTCTTTTTTTATTTAGCTGGGAATAATTCCTGTATTATCGACAAAGCACGTCGCAACTGGTGTCCATATTGTCGTCTGCAACGATGTTTTGCAGTACGAATGAATACTGCTGGTAAATTTAATACATAAAAACTAAATTACATCTTTATAAATAAAATAAATTAATTTTCTGCTTTTTTTTGTTTTTGCTAAGCTGTTCAAGAAGAACGTGGACCTCGTAAACCAAAATATCACCGCCCATTAGATTTCCCTCCTTCACACGCACTTTCCACATTTGCACAACCCTTCAATAATTCAATATTATCTGATCATGAGTTAGCTGCACAAATTCTATTGGTTGCAATTCGTCGTGCACGGCACAACCCTTTCTTTTCTGTCGTTGATAAACCCACACAAGACACAATCCTCTCTCACGTTTGGTCGCAATTGTTTGTATTAAACGCTTGCACATGGAATTCAACGCCTAAATCATCAGGACGCAAGAAAACATCCTTAAGTGTTGTCCTGATCTTCGTTGCACATACGCGTATTTACGTGAAGCGGAATTAAGCGCAAGTGAAATAGAAATCTTAGAAGAGTTTGATTCTAAGTCGCTGGGAAATTTTATCGGCTGGTGAGCAATGTGTACTTGTCAAATTGATGCAAGAACGATCCAAGTAGATTACATTAAATGTAAGTGTGTAGTTTTGATTTAAAAAATTAGCATAATGTTTTGGTTTGCAGATTTGTACCAAGGCGGATTATCGCAGAATGCTAAAAGTTTTGTTGTGTTTGCCGCTGATTTGTCAAGGGAATGCTAATGTTTTACAAAAAACATTGTTTCAGCCGGTTATTGGTGTTGTGCCAATGGAACGGATTGTTATTACTATTTAATTAAAGAATTAAAATTGTAAAGTTGATATTGTTACACGTATAATAAATTTGGTTCCTTGACATGAAACTAGAAAACTAGTTGAAGTTTTTACATTTAAGGTCGAGCTACAAGGTGCAGCGTGAAGATGGCACCATGAGTACTACAAATCTATTTCTTGTCGAGTCGTGCGTCGATTCGTAGCTAAAAAAACAGGGAAGAGTTTTGTATTTCTATTTAACATTTGCTCGGGAGTAGATAAATATTAACAAGTAATAAACTGATTTATGTGTGCTCACTCTCGAACCTTTACTAAATTTACTTGGAATGCGTTCAATGCGATGTAATTTTATTGAATGTTGAATGTTGTCAATTCCATGCACCTTTCAGGGGTTTAAAGAATATAATTAGGGTACGGAGAGGAAAATGTTTCATAAATTATATTATAACGGTAGGGCAGAAACACATAATTACTTAAATTACTTGAATAGTTACTTAGCTATTATGGCTATTTTCACAATAATTTCATTTTTTAATAATTTTGTATCCATGTAGTAGGCATTTTTATGATACTTTTATGATATTTATAATGTTATCAGTTTTGCCGGCGACTTCGTCCAGGTTGCGTTTAATAAAATGTAATTCGTTTTATTGTCTTGTTCTAGACATAGTATGTGTCAATTTATCAATAAGATCTCATGCAATTTATTTTAATGAAATTAATTATATAAAAGAATTGCTAACAATGCACTTTCAGCACGCCATCTCAGATTCAACTATTTAACTATAACTATGATTGAATCTCAAACCAACTTTTATCCTATAGAAAAGGAATGTGTTCAGGATTTTATTGCAATTTTATGTAATTTGTTTTTACAGCACCAAAATTTTTCCTTCTGCTTCGTATTCAAACTCATTATAAATGTGAGGAATGTTTAATTTTAACGCAAGCTTAAAATCTTCAAACTCTAGTTTTCCATCAACTACCTTCAATGATGGCAAATTGTGTACTTTGAGATTTTTCAATTTGATGCGTAAATTATTTCCAACAATATCTAATTCTGGCAGATTCAACGGATCCAGTGCTGGGATGAGTAATCTTGGAATACCTTTAGCTAAATATGGCCGACACCGTTCGATATTCTCCAATACGCATTTCAACGCCTCGGAATTTCTTTTACAGATCTTTATATAAGGTGCTACAAACAAATTCGTAGTTTTAAATATTTTTATATTTAATATTATTATTACTCACGAAGTTTATTGTCGGTAGGAACTTCAGCAGATGAACAAATTGCCATAAAACACACAAAAATCAAAATATTCAGCTTCATTTCTATTTGTTTACGTTTTTTATAATTTAAAATAAATTTAATTGATGTTGTTACAATGTCGAGCATCAATTGAATGTCAGCATCAGTACACTTGAGATGTTTATATACAAATCCAGTAGTAACACATTTTGCAATGGTGTGTGCGATTGTTCAACATTTGCATTCATGTATTGACCAAGAAAATGCGAAAAAGCATTTGAGCTGAAAGAAAAGCGTGTAATTGCGTGATGCGCACATACTTAATAGTCAATCAATTGCAATTGCAAAATCTACATGCTGTTGCAAGTTGAGAGGCGATAATAACCTTGACAAGATGCATTATCTCTTGGCTTCTATTGTGAATATTCATTTTAAATTACATTAATTACAAATTATACAAAAACATTGGATAAATTTAATTAAATTAGATGGAAATAAAATGATTTATAAAAATGTTTCGAGTGATACTGTAAAACTTGTTAATGACTTTCGAATTTGTCATAGGAGTCGATGTGTCATTAAATGGCATAATATAAAGCCTTAACACATATTTTATTGTTGTGGTTTATGGTTTATTTGATTTTTATTGCTATTTTTAAGAATTTTCAGTTGATATTATCTGCATTTAGAATTTTAATCACAAAATGCTGTTAAAACACGATTGTCAGTAATAAGGTTGGGAATTTTGAATTAAAAATCAATATTTTTGATGCTGATGGAAATATTTTATATACAAAATACCGGTATACTGATATTGATATCGGTATTTCACATCATGTAAGTGTGTGTATGTTTGTGACGCATTCATCCAAAACCGCTGAATCAATTTTGATAAATTTTTGCATCGAGATATTTTTAACCAAGAAGAAACAAATAGGCTACTTTTTCTTGCAATGTAAAACTAGTATAATAATAAAATATATTTTCGTGTATCGAGCGCCATCCAGTTGGTATCAAGTCAACTAAATGCTAATACGGAAATACAATTAATGCAGTGTACTTATTTAATATTTATTTATTCAAAAGAATATGTACATTCAATAAGTTATTAAAATATTTATGGTAAAAATAATTCTTCCATTGAAAAAGTATTAAATATAGTCTGAATTGATGTGAACACAAACGAACCGATAATTTCATTGACAATTGGCATAAAGTCTTCCATAATCTGCACAATATTATCATTGATCACCGCGTTCGTTGTTTTCGTCAGCTCTTCACTGCCTTTAAACAAATCCGCGAAATACACTGCAGGTTTATCTTTGATATTCAATTTAATCTTGTTTTTGGATCGATCATTGAAATCCAAATACGTCTTATCATTTTCTTTGCGTAACTTTCCATTTATTTCAATGTATCCGTCAACATTACCTTAAAATAAACAAAAATAAAATCAAATTTACCCAATTGTGTAAATATACTCTACTTACTTGCATTTAACCAACATTTTCCATTACTCTTCAATTGTAAAACTAATAATTTTCCATCAATGCGATAATTACTGTCCAAATGTACGTATGGGAATCGTACATTCATGATAAGAGAATAGTTTGCAATATCAAATGTTGAATTTATCATTTCAAAGTTTGACGCTCCCACAACTGTAGCGTTGGTGAATTTGGCATTGAAATTTTCTGCTGACATTATAATAGTTTCTAAAACAGTGGGTCCAAGGCAGGAATTCGCATTTCCGGTATACCGGATGCAAATCTTAGTTTGAATATTTCTACATTTTCGTCTATGCACTTTTGTTGATCTTCTGGTGATGCTGATAAACTGCATTGCTTTACAAAGTCAGCTAAAATATTTCAATTATTAAAAACATTTATTTATTTATGAATTAATTAATACTTACGGAGTTTTACTTTTACGCAATTTACTAGTTTTATTAATATTATATTATATAAAATTAAAAATACAAAATTTAATACATCTTTTCGTCTCGGTAACATGTTTGAGACTTTTGATATCTAGTATTTTATATAATGTGTACGCGAATTTGATTTAAAGCGCTATTTATGCGAAAAATTACGTAGATGATTGCAACGTGCAACTCGTTTTCAAGTTTACAGGTTTTAATTTTAATTTTAAGGTCAAATATAAATGTGCATCAATTTCCTTCTCTTTAATACCTGGTTTTGTACAAAATACTTACCACAATTGGATATAAAACAATAGTTAAACAGATAAAACTGTGACAAAAGTTGTAAACAAAATAATTGTGTGTATAATTAGCATCATTATAAGATTAAGAGGGGTTTGATAGTATAGCAGCGTCACTAGAGGATCGGTTTTTGCTTTACATTTTTAAATAATGCAATTATTGGAAAACCACTATGCGCATACGGTAATGACATAATTTCTCTTTATTACAGTATGAATACTATTACTGTGCATGTCGTATTTCCTTAAATAGTCCTGTTTCATCAAACAACACTTTTGCATTTAATTCCGAGTCAATTGAATTAAAATTGAAACTGCACTTGATCATGCCCGAATGCATTCACTTTTCGGCCATCGAAAACAATTCTAGATATTTCATCGTGCAAGCTCGTGACATTATAAAAATGTCAGTTTCATTTCCCAAAAATTAAAAGTGGTGATTAAAGTGCAATATGTCTTCTCACTTTATAAATATAATGTACAAAATTGCCGTTGTAACATATAGCATGCAACATAAAGTTGCATGAGTATATTTATTTATTGTAAAAATAATTCGTCAATTGTAAATGTATTAAAATAGTCTGCACTGTATTGAAGACAAACGATCCGAGAATTTCATTTACAATTGGCATCAATTCTTTAATGATTTCTCTGACATTATCGTTGATTATGACGTTTGTTGTCTTGGTTAGTTCTTCATTGTTCTCGAATAATTTGTTGAAGTGAATGAGTGGTGTATCAATAATGTTCAACTGTATACTGTTTTTTGATTTGTCGTTGAAATCCAAATACATTTTTCCGTTTTTTTCTTGACGTTTCCCATGCATTTCAACATACATATCAATATTAGCTAAAAATTAAATTTAATTAAAATAAGTTTTTTAAATTTTTGTAAAAATCGTATGAATAGTTACTACTTACAAGTATTTAACCAAAATGTTCCTTTACTTTCAAGTTGTATTACCAACAATTTGCCAGATATTTGATAATCGCCTTCCATGCGCACAAATGGAAAATTTAAGCCCAGGCTGAGGTAGTTTTCATTAAAGTTGATTGAGTTATTGAGCACTTTAAAGTTTGATGCTCCGTTAACTGTAGTGTTGGTAAAATCAATATGGAAATTGGGCACTTCCATCACAACCTTCTCTAAAAATAAAGGGTCTAATTCTCTAAGACGCATTTCGGGAATACCAGCACTTAAATGTGGTTTGAATGTTTCAATATTATCAGCCATGCATTTTTGAATTTCTTCTTTGGGTGATGATCGACTGCATAATTTTACAAAATTAGCTTAAATAAAAATAGAATAATATATAATAAAATAATTATTGATAAATATTTTGATATTTATTATTATTAATTGTAACTTACGTATTTTCTTCTTGGCTGCATTTACATCTTGAAATAAAGAAATTGAAACTAAAACTAACGCTAGTGAGATACCTATGTGTGAACTATGCCGAAACATTTTACCAACTGAACAGATATTCCACAGATTTTAAAATGATCATAAAGTATGTCTGGTTTTTAAAGGTTTAAAGTTTTTTGGTATCTCATGGTCATTTTATAAACAAACAAGTGCTTGAGTATTTAGTTATTGACATTATAACTGATCGTGGTATATAAACATTGAAAAAGAAGCAACTTTTTAAATTTAATTTATTTTTGGTGTTTTCTTTATTACAAAACGCAATAAAATATCAAAAAATTTACAAAACTTGGTAACTTTTTCCTTAATTCCTATTTTAAAGCTTATTAAAACTCCTTAACAACTTGTATGGTAGTTTAAACTGCACAATAGCAATTATTTAACAATTATCAATAAGATTATTCCGCCAAGAACTATTTTTCTAAACTGAAACTTTTTCTAAAATATCTATAAAAAGCTTTTACTTATTTAAAGTTATTCTGGAAGAAATTCCGCTGCAGGAACACGTGCCAAATAATTATTAATTTCCTGTTTAATTACTTGGTTTGAATATTCGTTGTAAATTGGACTGATAGAATCCATTACAAGGCGTGGATTTTCATTGTAGAAGTTTGTAATTAAATCAGCTACAATAAAAAACAAATAAACACATATTCGCAACCAAATTAAATTTTCTAAATTATAAGGTATTAATTAATATTACCTGTGAATTGAAGGTCAGGATTCTTGGCAATGATTTTAATCACGCCATCACCAACACGGAATTTTGTATCAAACTTGTCCACAGTAAAATATTCAACGTCAGCTTGTTTATATTTCTTGAACTGCGCTCTCATGTACATTTGGATGTTAGCTATTAAAACATTCAATGTATTTTGGGTTGCATATAACAAATTAAAATTACTTACAGAAATTTCCTCGGAAATATCCTTTGTTTCTCAATGGGACAATTAATAACTGACCAGACACATCATGCTCCATAGACATTTCACAATGTGGAACGGTAAGCCGAATTTCACCAATCATATTTTTCAAATCAACTCTAAAACACAAAAGATAAAATTAAACTTTGAAAATAAATTAAATATTGTTACTTACTTTAAGTCATTGATGACAACTCCACCTAATCCAGTAACTCGAACATTCTTCAAGACAGCTTTGATACTGATAAGTTCATTTAGAGTCCGGTCAACGGAGGTAACATTGATGACCAACGGATCGATTCCGGAAAGTCCAGTTCCGGAACACCGTTGAGGAAATGCGGACGAGCTTTTTCGAAAGCTTGCAGCAAACACGCTTGATAATCATCTTCGGATTTCTTACAAATATTCAATTGCAATCTCTCCGCTATATGGACATAAACAATCAGAAATATAATTAAAATTAATTGCATATAAATTTCTGTTAACAACTAGGAAATTATCGCGAATATTTATCGATAATGTGTAGTTCCGGTACAGCAAACCGGATATCAGTTGATAATGACTGGTAATAGGAAAATAATGCGCGAATTATAAAAAGTACATGATATTACACTTTCGTGCAGATTGCAGATTTCTTACCATATAATGCATGATTGTGTAAGTACAGTGAGTAGAAACATTAGCGTCGTTAACTCGATAGCAAATCGCATTCCTAAATAAGCTGTATGTAACGGTTGCGCATGGTTAAAGCCGAAAGTAAGAGTTGTGCGTCTTGATCGAAAGACATGCGCGACGCACCACTCGTGCGAAGAGTGAAATTTATTACCAACGATGTCAAGTCGTTATCGCTGCATTCGAAAGTTAAAAAATTTGATTGAGAATAATTTAAAGAAATATCAATTGACTGAGTTTAACCTATAATAAAATCTATTCGTGTTAAAATTGCTACTATTTATTTTAATAAATTTGTTTTTATTGCTACGAATTAAATAATTATGAAGGTGATATAAAACAAACCGGTTGCTGACATCCTTGGCACAATCTAACAAACAACTCGATTTTCCATCGATTTAACATGCTCAATAGGTATTTATTTATGTGTGAGTGAATATATTGTGCAAGTAAACATAGTTAGTTTATACAGAAGTAGGTAAGTAAAAAAAATTGCTAATGTATTGCGAAAGTCAAAAGTTTAAACTTATTTGTTAAATATTAAATGTTTTGTTAAAAGTTTATGTCAAAATATGTTTGAAATTTGTATTGAATTCTGCTTAGTTTTCTGTTTTAGTTTCGGATTATTAGAATATTGATTTAAGTGTTTTAAAACAATTTGACTTACGCAGGACGGCGGCATGTGTGCACTCAAAAATGGCGACTGTGGCAAACAGTAGCAGCAACTGTGGCGACTTCATCTCGAATGCGTTTTCGTGCGACAAGTGAAAAGGCAAAAGTGAAAACGGTTTTTATGTAAGCGCTACCCTTCCCATCAATTTCGAATACCGGCACCAAACTCACACAATCACAAACGTATATTGATTTCAATCAAGAATTAATGTATTGAATATAACGCTGTAAATGAATATTAATAATACATTTGATGTAAATTATATTAAAACTTTTAATCGTATATTCATTCAAAAATATGTTTCATTCATTCATTATCATTCATTCAAAAACATTTAATTAATTTTTAATATTTCAAGACGTAAATATTTTGAAGCCTCGAATGCTATGTTTAAATATTATTATTGTTTGTTATATGTTCCATGCAATTTAATTAAAGAAATATTATTTTTTAATGTAGGTTAAGATGAAATTTAATTATAATTGCAAAACCAGTTTCTTCAACTTTTGGAACACAAAATGAAGTAAATTAATGTGGTAAACCCAATTTTTTTTTATTTTCTTCATTTTGAGCATCTGTTTAATAAAAACACTTTTTACTTAATTTTTTTTTGCCCACAATTTTGTATGCACAAATTTTAATAAAATCGTCCTAACTAGTTTTTGAGTATTTTAAGTGAGTATTTTCTTGTTTCTTACAACTTTTATGTTCAAAATCTTACAATAAAGTTCTTAATTTTAATTTAAAGCAGTGATAATTAAATCCATCTCGATCCAAATTTAATAACACATTTTACATCTTGCAAGTTATATTTTTGCGTTGAAATTTTGCTTTTCCAAGGTTAAAACAATCTCAAAATTTATCAAAATTTCTTCAGAGGATTTTGCGTAATACACTCACAAATAAACAAACCAAATATATAAGTTTGTCACATAAATTATAATTGCACTAGTTATAAACAATTTAAAATTAACTGCGCCAATAAATATATACACAGTTCATAATTGAATGGTTAAACGTTTTCAATAAAAGTTTACCCGCATTCAACGTGTGACATTTTACGTTAAATAATATGCAAATTTTGTTTGCGAATATCGTAATCATCATTATAATAACATAAATGTTAATAATTTCTCTTAAGTTCAAAGTACAAATAAAATTTTAAAAATTTAAGTTTTTAAAGTTCAAAGTTTCTTAGCAAATATCAATTTTTTATAGAAACAAGAAATTTGAGTATATTTCAGGTCGTCGTTCTCAATGATGCAATTTAAAATTGAAATTTTAATTGACTCTGCTAACATACATACACAGAATGTTTCCAATTTCACGTCCTGTCAATTATTAATATGTTTATGATTATTTTAAACACTTTGTATACTTACGCATGTTACGCATCTTAACGCAGTGAAATAACGATAATCTAAAATGCAAATAAATCTCCGACATGCTGTGGTAACCATAAGTTTACAATAATTTCACTTTTGCACATATTCAAAGACCAGTTGAACAAGCACATGGAAAAAATTGCGTGTTATTATTAAATATTACTTCTTCTTTGACTTCAGGTACATCAATTGCACGATGCACAAATTAATGAACGAAATTTTCTTGGAAAAGTATAATTTTTTTTTCTTCGATTTTGCAATTTTGCAATTTTGCAAATTTCACTTTTGTACAATTCTTACAATATGATAATGTTACATTAATGTCTAATACTGACTACTTTAACAATTGTATGTCAAGTATAAGCAATTAGTACTTTTAGTTCAATGCGGTGAATAGTGTTTTTTATATAGAATATAAAAGAAAAGCACTTGATAACAAACATAGGAAGAAAAAGCAAAACTTATTATGCAATATTATAAATATGAATATTTTATAAGAATAGTTCGTTATAAGTAAAGCGTAGTGTGATTTTATTTGCTATGTTGGTGAATAATTCGCTGAGCGCGTCAGTGAGCGCAGGTCGCACTTCTTCCAAGATGGCGTCTTGTGAATCGTTTAGGACGTCATTGGTTGCTCTGCCAAGAGCTGCATTACCATTGAAGAGATTATCTAATCGCATTACTGTGTGACCCGGGAAGATTGTCAATTTCATTTTGTCGAATTTCAAGTATTCTTCTCCGTTTTGTTGAATACGTTTGCCTTTCAGAACTCCTTGAAAACTGTAATCAGCTGAAACATAAAATATATTTTAATACATATATCTATATAAAGGTATACATTAAACAAGGTTTGGTTAGTTACATCACTTATAACTCAAGAACGGTTTAACATATTTTGATAATCTATGATTGGTAGGATTTGTCTTGGCCCCAAATAGCAGAATATCTATTAAAATATCAAAAATTATAACTTTAACAATGTTAAATAAATGATGAAAATTGATATAAATTTACTGATAGTTATAGTTAAATAATTTAGTCAGGGAAGGCGCTAAAGTGCATTATTAGCAATTTATGATAAAATAGTAAATATTAATTACATTTTTACACAAAACTACGGGAATGAAATCACAGACAAAAGCTATTTCTTAATAATTAAAATGACAAAAGTTAAGTAACAGTTTTATAATAGGAAAAAAATTACTAAAAAGTTTTAGACCTACAATGATTGTAAATATATATATATAATTTTAGAACATCATTTGCTTTAATGTTACATGCAATTCAAAACTTTCAATAATTTCACAAAAATATATAATATTTGCTGATATTATTTGTAACAAAAGTTACACATTAGAAAGTGTTAATAATAGTTCGTGATTATACTTTGCTTGAACAGTTGTTGTTAATGCTAATGTAATATTTTAAATTACGAGTGACCAGCAATGTTAAATTTCTCTATAAATATTGCAAACTTCAATAAGTTTAAAAAAGTTTTAGTGAAAGCTAATATTTATTGACTTGGTTTGCTTTAATATAGGCAACCAACTCTACAGACAACCTGCGTTGAATTTAAATAGTTTAAAACTTTGTTGTTTCTCTTTGCTACCATCACTTTTAGTATATTTGTATAAAAACCGCAGTTTTATTTTTAAATTTAAATTTATTGCGTGTTTCTCATACCTTTCGTGCATAAAATCTAAATTACTACAAATGAGCATTGTTAAATCGTACAAAACGATTAAATTGTTTGACATTGAACAATTCTATCATAATTTTTGCACATAAGTGTTTTTTGTGGTTGTTAAAATTTAATGTGTATTTTAGTCAATTATAGCTCAACCATCACCTAGTTATAATACAGTAAACTTCATTGTTTTTGTTCATCATTCGTTTCAATGTCAAGAGAATTTTTCATTAAAAAATTAAGCTTATGTAATATTATTTATCACTTGAACAAATTTGCATGACCAAACCATGACTAAATGAAATTTATGTTATTTGCATTAATAAGTGTGTACTCACTGAAATTTCCGTGAATTGGCCCACTTCCTCGCAAGTTAAGCACGAGAATTCTTGAATTCAGCTCATAGTGACCTTTGAATTGCAAGAATGGAAGGCGTACGATGAAGGCGAAACGATTTTTGGTACGTTGGCACTGAAAACCGCAAACACCACATATTTCAATTATTATTATCCAACTATTGTTCTAAACAAATAACAATCAAACAATTTAAAAACAAATCCTATGCATAAATAATATTTTTTGCGCTTTTACGTACGATTTGAATTTTTACTTTTATACGAGTTTCTTCCAAGGTGTTTCGCTTTGTTTGCTTTTAATATCTAGTACATAATTATTTCTACCTGTTGTACTTGTTGTACTTGTTGTATTTATTGCGATGTGTGTCATTATGAATTAATGCGTGGTTCGCAGATAACGTTTAATAATAGTCGTGTTTAATTACTTGCTGCCCTACGAAAATGAAGTTGCAAACTCCATTCCATGACGCTTATTAAATGTCTGCTTGCACATGATTATAATTATCGCGTGAAATGCACGTAATAGTATGTAATTAGCGATAATAAGCGTTAGAATGCAAAAATGGAGACGCAACAAAAATAATAAGAAATTAAATGTCAACAAACTAAAATTACTGTTTTTATATTGTATTATGATTTAATTAGGTGCTATATTTATAGATTGTAAATAGTAATATAAAATAAAGTTTGCTTAAGCATTAAGTTTTGTTTATTTTATCAGTTTTTGTTAGTTTGGTATATATTGCTATTTATAAAATAAGATAAAACAGAATTCTTCTTCTTTATTTTGAAAAAAAAAGATAAATTTGCCTTGAATTTTCTTTTATTTATTTGTTTTAGTTTGCTTGTCAATGAGAAAGTAAAATTTGTCAAAATTACTTCATATTCATCATATCAACGTTGGAGAAAAATTATTAGTAATTATGCAAGGCAATTTAAATTTTGAAACTGGTAAAATTGAAATTTTGTAAATTGTAAATTTTAATTTGTTAAAACTAAAATAAACGTTTTAGTTGCAACGTTTCTTTAAAAAAATCTTTTTGAAATGATTGTCCTTTATAAATAAAGGATTTTTTTTGATAATTAATTATTATATATTTAATTAAATCTCACCGTAATTCAGTTATTTCGAACGATGACGGTCCCCAAACCTCGACATCTGTGACATTGCATTGAATACCTCTGGTCAACCGGATAGCATCCAAATGAAGCGGTTCCATCGGCGGCACTTCCAGTTCCGGAATTCCCTTTTGCAACTGTGGCCTGAGTTCATTTATGGCGCGAATAATACATTTAGAAATCTCAGGATCATCCGCCTTGCACGGTTTAATATAATCAGCTGAACAAAACCAATAAAAAAATAATTTAAAACAAATTTAAAACATATTAACAATAAAATATAATTACTTACGTATCATACAAGTCGTTAGTCCAACCAAACACAACACAAATATACTGAGAACTTGTTTAATCATTATGGAAAGTTTTTTGTCGTTAATGTCAATGCAATAAGAAATTAGTATAACATCAATCAAACGAGTAAGTTTTGGTCAGGTGCACGTTGCTTGTCCGAGCGGCTTATTGCAATGACCACGAATTCAAATTGTCATCGTTTGATATAGGCGTCGTGTGGTGGCTGGCGCAATATAAATATCAGTAGCCGCATCGTTCGCGGCGTGATCCTTGAAATCGTTTGCGGGAAAAGTCGTCTGTGCATGACTCGAGCGTATCATCGAAGAACGAACTGCGTGCCGCCGTTAACAAACCGAATTATCAACCGCCTATCAATTAACATTAATGCTACTCGCGATGCAATTACAATTTTAGGGCGGTGCATCATGTAAACATAGGTAATTTCCACTTGGATAAACAATTATTAACTATTTCTTATATTTTACGAGAAAAAGATATAAAATTTCTTTGTTTTATTTATAATTATAAATTTTAATACAAAATTTTATAAAATAAAAGAAAATTAATTTAATTTTTTGGGAAGATTTCTTCTTCAGTGAATTTTCGTACGATTTTATTTGCTATTTCTGTAATTTTTCGATTTAAGTTAGTTTCAAGTGTTGGAACCATTTCTTCAAGAAGTACATCAGAGTTATCTTCAACGACTCTAGTTGCAGCTTCAGCTAGTTGTTTGTTATCTGGGAAGAGTCCACTCATACTGAATTTAACATTCTTCCAGTCCGTAATTTTGAATTCCAAGAATCTCAACTCAATATGATTTTCTCCGTTGATTTGTATACGTTTTCCTTTGAGTTTTCCAATGAAATGAATCGATCCTAAACAAAAAAATGCAAAAATCTGGTTTATCCCAGTATGGCAAATATTTGGCTGAATTCAACCTGATATTTGTTGAGTGTTGCAAGAATTCGGAATTTTTGACATACCTATGCGTCCGGTAAGCGGTCCGTGGCCTTGCAATGGAATCGTAAGAAGCTTGGTGTCGATCGTATAATCACCGCTGACTTCGACGTTAGTGAACTTCAGCACAAAAGCGAATTGGTATTTCTCATACGACGCACTGTATACAAGAAAAAAAAAAACAAATAAATAAATTTAAGTGTTTTATCAGTGGCTGTAGCCTTGCGTGCAGTTTGAAAAATAAAACAAAACTCAAATTGAACTAAATTTATACACTACTTACGAAATATCAAGGATTTCGAAGGCTAACAGGTTGTGCAGTTTGAAGTCAGTAATGTTGATGTTCAAGTTAGTCCTGACGGATAAATCATCAACGTCGAAGGGCTCCAAAACTGGTACATCTAATTCAGGAATTCCTTTTGCTAAATTTGGTTGTAAAGTTAACACTGACGATTTGATGCATCCTCCTAGATCAGGATTTGTTGCTTTGCAGACTTTTATAAAAGAAGCTAAATTCAAAAATTAAAATTATTATTAATTATTAACATTGTGGTAATGTTAAACATTGAAATACTTACGAATTTCAGCATTAACATATAAAACTAAACAAATAACAACAAAAACACACCGATGTAACATTTTAGCGTGATGTTACTTTATTTATTTTTACTAAGAGTTAATAATTTGCTCGTCGTGAATCGACGCCAAGTTAAGGACTAATTTGTAGAAGTCAACTAATCTGCTATTTATGTGAAAAATCAAATCGCGTCTTTGTAGATTCGACAAAAACTCGCACGAACCTTGTTTTTAATCACGACGTTTTTATATATTAGATATACCTAATTCAAATTAGTTTACACAAATATAATTTGCTCAGTGTGTGAACTTTTGAAGGTAAAGTTTTTAGGAAGCGGATTTAATTAGTGTAATGATAAATTATTCACTTAATTAGTTTAAAGTTTTTTCGGAAATTAAAAGCGAATTTTATTATTTGTGATTTTAGCTTAGCATTAACGAGCATAGTAGGTAATCTAAAATTTAAATGATGACCTTGACTCTTACATAATGTAAATATATTAAAAAATTAACAAAACATCTAATAGTTTTAGGTAAATATTAATTTTTGTTTATTTGATTGTGTTTTACGTACTGTGATGGTACCAGCAAGATCAAGAACAGGAATGTAGAAGCAGAGACGCTTGAATCTATTTTTATTTACTTCGGCTCTAAAAATGGTAAAAGTGATTAAAAATGTTAAATTATAATTGTGGTAAATATAGGAAATTAAATTGCTTGAGTTCCTTGATTTTAAATTTTTCCTGCGCCATTTATAACAATATCTGTTACATTTAATTTTAATCAGCTGCTTTGATTTGTAAATCATCAATGTTAATGGTTCTATTGGTGAACTCCTAATTCTGGAATTTCATCTCCAGCAATTTTAAGCCCAAGATTTTGGATTTTATAGCCATGCTGGTATATCTTCATTGTCTCGTTTTACACCTTTATATAATCAGCTGCATGGAAACAAAATAAAATTGCATTTAATCAGAGAAAATATAGAAAAACTTGCATGTTTCTGCATTTGCTGCCACACAACAATAAAATACAAATTCCGCTTTGAGTTAAATTTGTTTTAACTTAATCAAGTTTAGTTTTGATTAAGTGCAGATTAAAGTGTATATTTATTTACAGATCAAGATAAGCTGCTGATTCCTCTCCAGCTTATTTTATACACAAAATTTTGAGAAAACGAAAAAATTATCAATATTTCACGTTGAAAACACATTTTCACAAACTATAATAAAATCGAAAGTTAAGGTTTGTGGAACAGACAAATAATTTGCAAATATATTTGGATCTATAAAATATACCCAAAAACAGGTTCTATTATTATTAGTAAACATCATTTTATTGTAATTAGTCTGAGTTTAATTCAGTGGAAATAGTTCATCATTACGTAAATGTGACGTTATTTTATTGGCAATGAGGTAAAGTGTTCCTAGAGTTTTTTCCAGCGCTTTGCTTGAAATTTCATTTTGCAATAGAGCGTTGTTTTCGTTGAGTAAGTCGTTTGTCGCGTCTTGCAGCGCTTTCTGACCGCAGACCAATTGCCTCCAGTCGTAAGTATGTGTTTTGTCCCTGGTAGATTTTTAATTCAATTGGGCGGGGAAAATCATGTGCGATTATCAGACATCATCATTTCTTACCTACCATTTTGCCAGTAATTTGACAATTTTCTATAAAATTAAGAACAAAAATTATTCTGTAAATTTTGGTGTTTTATTAATTACTTACTGAAATGTCCATGCATGAGTCCGCAGACGCTAAGAAGAATTCGTAGGATTTCCATGTCGATATCATATTTTCCTTCAAATTTTAATTCTTTGAATTTGTAGAGAAAAACAAACCGATTCTTTTGATGTCTATTCTGTAAATGAAAACGTGTAATGTTGGTTGCCTATAGTCGGCTCTCATAATTAAACATAATTGTGGTGTTGCCTACTTCATTTCAGCCAAATCAAACTCTGAAGGTCCATGAATATAAACATCCGTAAAGTTGACATTAACATTGTCTTGTAACTCTAGTCTACGGATATACAGTGGTTCGATTCCTGGTACGTTCAATTCGGGTATTCCTGTCGCAAGTTTCTGACGCAAGTTCACAATTGAGTTTTTCACACAGTCGTCTAAATTGGGATCACTACGTTTGCACACTTGAATATAGTCGGCTGGAAATTCACACGTTATCACCGTTTAATTTACAATAATTGAACTTAATTACACTTGCACAAAATACCAAACTGATTGATTTGTGATCATTACTTTACTTACGTATTGCTGATTTGACAACGTGCACTTGGAAAATTGTGATTGTAAAAATAAAAACCGAAAACTTCCACGAATTCAACATTGTGCTAAACTTTCCTGTTCTACGATGTAAAGTAGACAAAAACACAACATAGACTTTTACTTTTTATATAAGCCAGTGTTATCACAGGCGACAATCAATAATAATAAACGAAAATGAAATAATCAATTAAAAAGTCGTTAAATTCCCGTTTTTAATTCCATATGCATTGAATTGTGATTGTTTCGTTTAGTAATTGAATTGTTCTGTTTTGGCTAGACACATTTATATGTATTTAGTTATCAGTATTCTTTCAATATCAACATGTTATTAAAAAAATTACTCTAATTTGATAAATTTGTTCAAATGCATAGAAATGCATGGTTTTCTATTTAAAGCAAAATAATTGTTTAATTTGTATGCATCAATTGTTTGCATTCAATTCAACTCCAACTCCAAGGCCATGTTTGCAACACAAAACCTAAAAGTACAGTGCACGCTGTTGACGTACATTGTGGTAACACGAAATTAAATTCAACTCTTCAACACAAGCAAACAAACAAAAAACAAAGACCAAAGCCAATTTATTCAGCATTACTAATGTATTGTAAAAACTACAGACACATTACAGCAGTCAAGACAATGTCAAATTAAACTTGTAAAACTTCTTTGTAACAAAGAAGAAGTTAAATTATTGAGGAAATAATTCATCGTATGTAAATCTATCCATTATTTTATTTGCTATCGAAGTTAAGTCTTGGCTTAACGAATTTTCCAGTGCCGGCATTATGTCATCCATAATCACGTTTATATTACTGTTGATTACTGAGTTGGTAACTTGTCCTAGGAATGGATCACCGCCGAATAAATTATCCAGTTGTAATTTTGCATCGGCTGAATGCATTTTAACTGGAATTTCTGGAAGTGTAGATATTGTTTGCCATTTCGCCATATTTTCTTGCCGTGCATCATTCCGTCAGCATGAAAATTATCTAAAATATTTAGATTTATACTAAAATACAATATTTTATGTTTTTATTATGTTTTACTTAATACACCACTAATTTTTCCTTGGCCTTTTATTGGAATAAAAACCAATTTCATATCTAAATCATAATTTCCATTAAAATGTAATGTAGGTGCTACTGATTTGAACATAAATCGATTATGTACAACATCTGTCCTAAAATTTTAATTTTTAAATTTTTGATGTATTTTATGCATATTTTGGCCTAAAACTTACTTTAAATCAGTTAATTTGAATGTAGTTATACCATAAACGTATAAATTCGATATATTGCTGTGTTTCCCAGTGCTCAGTTTAATATTATGCAAATGCAAAGGTTCAATAGGTGGTAAATCCAATTCTCTGATTCCATTTTTCAATTTTGGGAGTAAATCTTTTATTGAAGTTGCAATGCATTGTGTTACTCTGGGATCGGATGCTCTGCACACTTTTATATAATTTGCTAAAAATAAATTTTTGATTTTACAATTGAATTGTTTTATAGTTTATGATTCTTACGTATTTTACTGAACGTTTCACCAAAAAGTGCTAATGAAATAGCAGTGATCAATAAAATCTTGCAAAACAATTCCATTATGAAATTTAACACTTTTACTTGTATCTCAATGTGTTTTAATGGTTGCTTGTGAATGAACTGAATTGCTGTAAGTCATGTGGGTGATATTTATTGGTTCTTCATCTTTGGCACGTTGGTTAGTTAACCAAATCAAAATACTTGGTTGGAATATTAAATTAAGACAGAATACAGAATTGATCTCTATTGTCAGTGAGGTGTTAAGGTGGTGGAGTGCATATTAATTAATCTTAATACCGACAACAATAAAACTGCTTAGTCATATCCAGAATCGATAAAAATATTTTTGGTGACATTTTTGCAACGATAAATCAATTAGAATCAAGAAAAATCAAAAATAAAAAATTCTACTGAAATTGTATTAAAATAAATGTTGATATTGAATTTTTATGTGGTTTGTAAGTGAACTATAGCAAATATGACGCAATGACAAAACAGGAAATGCAATTAACACGTCTCGTAGCATCACACACATAGTGATTTTTATCTAATCTGTATAATTATGAGTACAAAATTGCAAAATTACAATAAAATCAACTAAAACTATGAATTACTCGCATATTCAACGCTTAAATAAACGCAGAGTTATATAATGATACAATTATGGTTTAATAACAACTTGTTTTATACTCATATGTTGGAATATTGTACATTGACAATCATAAGAACAGCAATGTTTGCATTAAAATTGAATTGAATTGAATTGTAAGCGAATGAAATAAACTATAGCGCATTCATCACAGACATCATTAATTAATAAAGTATAAACTAGTTTTGTCCATGATATCCGAAATAAATTATACACCTTGATGTAGGTCAATGTATGCTTTTCTTCTTGAATAGTTTAAAATTCTAAAGTTTCACTAATTAATTTATATGGTCAGAGTATTTATGGTGTTAAAATGTATTTGAATGGGTTAGTATTAAATGTGTCTTCACTTTTAACATTGACCTTGATTTTTACACAAAAATATGTGTAAGAATGTTGGTATAAACCAAACTGAGACTATAAATGAGAATATAAGTTAGTTAGTTGGTTTGTAAAGCAATCACGCAAAGACCAACGAAGCAAATTTGATAAAATTTGGAGTAGAAAATCTTTTGATCGTGGAAAATAAAATAAGCTACTGTTTAATGCAAAAATGTAACTCAAAAGTAAGAAATAAGATATGCAATTTAGTATGAATTATTATTATTGTTATTAATTCAAGAATTCCACCGCTGAAAGTTTTAAAGCGTTTTTATTAAAATCTACGTCTAAATTACAAGCAAAAGCTAATGATATTATAATTGTTAGTTTTAATTTAAATTTTTAAATTTTTTATACATTTTTAAATTCTTTTATTTACTCTTAAATCTCATAATGATTCAGCATTTTTAAATCTTGTATTTGTGTTTATTTCAAGTTGTATACCTACTTTATAATGCGAATGAGTTATAAATGACCTTATCTTCATAGTAATTTTTTCATCAAATTGAATTTTGATCGTTTGTTATTAGATGTTATTAATCGCGAATGTCACTAGACGGTTATCCTTGACGTCCACGAAGAAATGTCATGTCTCGTCACTGCAAATTGCAACTTATTTAACATTATTAGCGTACTGATACAGGCATAATGTAGTATTTTTATTTTAATGAGGAAAATTGATGAGTTAATACAAAATTATTTAGTTATTAGCTATTTTACTGCGAGTTAACCTAAAAATTCACTTACCACGCACATAATATTATATTACTTGTTTTTTCCTTTTTAATTCGAAAAACCGGCTGATGGAATCATTTTTATTAAAGTTTATTGATTTGATGACAACAATTATGCAAATTTTAAACAATTATTACTCAAATTAAAGTCAAGGTAAATATTATCAATCAAGTACGTGGTGATCGGTTATTTATAACAAATAAACGTCTCATTTTAGTCTTTTTCAACTTTTTAAAAGTTTGGTGTTGTTAAATTTCAAAATGTGATCGAAAGCAAAAGTTTCAGTGCAAATAAATAAAGATTTCCTAGAAAGTAATCAATGAAATCTAATTCATAATTAAACTTATAGTTAAATAATAATTTAAATGGGTATTTATTGATGAAGCAATACAAAGTTCTCCTTGACCGCTAAATAAATTATATAACCTATAATTTTCAGAATTAAGAATTATGCAAAAACATAAATATTGATCCTGTGAAAACACTTATTCTTTTCTCAACCATATGTTAAATTTACAAATTGTCTGTTGCGGTCACGGTTTTTCCTTCAAACGTGTAACAAATATAATTATCAACTTGTTTATGAATCATAAATATAAGCTTATACTAGTTTGGCGCACTTATACAACGCGCACAAGGAAATACAAAGATGCATGTTTTACATTTATACACATTCGCACTAAATGTGACTTTGTCCGAGAAAGCCATTAAACATGTGCCTCCATGATGATGATTACACTGTTGATAGCACGTTGATGTGACGCCCGGCAGTTGGAGTGTTTTTTTAAAGGACGACGCGCGTACACACACTCCAATGGAAACTCTTAAAGTGGGAGTTCCTTTTGGTCATTTTTGCTATAAACGAGACAACAAAACCGACAGCGCGTGCTGCGATTAGAATCATTTGAATTTAGTCATTATCAACGTGAATTACCTACTGCAATATTTAAACATGTGGATCAAATTCATTTGTTGTGTGTTAGTGATTGCTGGAGGAATTAATTATTGTTCTACAGCGGCAATTCGTAAGTTATGTGTTTTTGGATTTAAATGTTTTGTTTTACTGATTTTAATCATATTTTGTTATTTTGCTGGAAATTAAAATTAGTAACGCATCACGCTTTAATCTAAAAATAAAATTTTTATAAAAAATTTATAAAATTTTTATAAAAAATTTATAAAAATAAATGTTAAAAGTGATTAAATTCACAAAATAAAAACAAAAAAAAAGATTTTTGTCATAAATTAATTTTTTTATAGCAAGTTATATTCACATTTGTCATCAATCCGATCCACAACTAAATGATTGCATTAAAAACTCAATTGAAGAGTTACGACCACAATTACGAAATGGTATACCAGAATTAGATGTTCCGCCATTAGAACCATTAAATGTTGAAGACATTATAATTTCCCGTGGAGTTGGACAATATCACTTCATGTTGAATTTGACTAATGTGCAAGTTTTCGGTGCCAGTTATTTCGAACTCAACAAATTAAAGTAAGATATATCAAATATATTTTATTTTATTGATAATATTAATACTATTAACTATACTAGGCTGGATATTGACAACATGATTTATAAAATGTCCGTGACTTTCCCAAATCTTCGTCTCAAGGGCGATTATGCTGTGGATACACGAATTCTATCATTGCCAATTACTAGTGATGGACAGTTTGATGCCAATGCAAGTGAGTATTTTATTTGCATTTGTAAATCATGATATGTGATTTATTGTCATAATTATAATTTTAGCGAACTGTGAAGGTGTTGGTATTCTGAAAGGAGATTTAGTGCGTGATGAGTTTGAGCATTTGCACTTTAGTGACTTGACGATTGATTTGAAGATCGGGGATTATAAACTACGTCTTGATAATATTGTTAAAGGAGATGAAACTTTAAGTAATAAAATTAATATTCTTCTGGTTTTTAAATTAATTTTTAATTTTTTTAATTTTTTTTTTAGATGAAGCTATTAATGAACTTGCCAATTCAAACAAAGAAGAATTAATCAAGATTTCTACACCTTTCATTGAGAATAGAGCGGCGTATACTCTTCTGAAAATTGCAAATCAAATCGTAAATAATTTGGAATATGATAAAGTTTTCCCGAAATAGACCCTCAACCTCAAGAAATTCTTTTCATTGTTGCAAAATGTTGTTCTAACCAAAAGAGCTGTTAAATATTAAAAATTTAAGTTTAGAATAGAAATTTTAGATATTTTGTAATAAATTCAATAAAAATATTAATTAAGTAACGAAAGTATGCATTATTTATTTGTCTAGTATCAATATATTAACTCCAGAGTACAAAAACAACAACCAACATGTTCGCAAACAAAGTAAACAGTAAAATATTATTCTGGGAATAATTGTTCACACGTGTACGGTCCGACAATTTGATTCGCAGTGTTCATGAAGTTTTTAGCTAAACCAGCTTCAATAAACGGCATTAAATCCTTTAGGAACGTTTGTAGATTGTCATTGACCACATCATTTATCAGTTTGGCTAAAAATAATATTTTAGCCATATTATAAGACAATTTTCAAAAATAATAGAATAAGATTAAGATGCTTACTTAATATTTTATCGCCGTTAAACAAATTGTCCAATAACACATTTCCTCCACCAACGGTGACTTTCATTTTGTTCTCAACAAATTCCAGATGATTTTCACCGTCTCTTTGAACCTGTTTTCCGACCAGTGTTGATCGACTGCGACAATTTGCTAAAATTAAAATATTTTTAAGATGTTGTTTTATTTTTTATGATTGCTAAATTGTTTTATAACTTACTTAAGTTGGCATGAAATGTTCCTTCACCACGTACTGCTACCACTGACACTTTTCCGTCGATACGATATTTTGCTTCGATTCGTAATGTTGGTATATTAATATCAGATTCGAAACTATATTTCTCAAAATCTGGGCTAAAATTGAGTTTAAAATTAAATTAAAATAAATTTTGGTTGTAGAGAGACGTACATTATGTCAATAATTTCATAATTTCCTCCACCATAGGCAACTACCTGAGTAGTTTCTAGTTTTAATGGACCAGAAGTGTCCTTAATGAGATCATCGATAACAATTGGTTCCACGCTGGGGATATTATACTCAGGATTACCTAAAAATTCAGCAAAATTAACCATATTTTATCAAAATATAAATTTAAATATATATATTACGCTTATCAGATATAATAATTAAAAAAAGTGAGTTTTTATGTTTGTTTCTTTGATGTTTTCATGGCAGTTTTTAACCAATTACAATAAATTTCTGTTTGGGGATATTATTTTCAAAGACAAATCGAATAATCAACTTTTTATTACGAAAAGGGTTTAATATATGAAATAAAAGTTGATACCATCCATAATTATATAGCGGTAAAGTGCATTTCTCAATACTTTAAATTAAAACACAGAAATTGATTGGCATGTCACTGACACAAGCTTATTTTTAAGAAAATGTTGTTAATTAAATTGTATTATTTACCATTTTGCAATTGTGGTCTGAGTGCTTCCACAGAATCCTTAATACATGCTTTAGTATCCGGGCTACTTTTATGACATATGTGCATAAAAGATGCTAAAAATGTTCACAAAAGTATAGCTATTATATTAATCTCAATATTTCATGTTTACGTATATCTGTTGCAGCCAAATAACCACTAAAAACTCCAATAAACACTATTAATCTATTAATCTTCTGCATTTTAACTGCTTACAATCAAAAACAATTCAATCAGATTGTATGGAATTCACTGCCAAATATTAGTAAACATTTGCACTTAAAAACTGTTTACACAGCAATTTATATAGATAAGCTGTCTCGTGCGTGGGATATTCGCGTCATATCCGACCAAGGACTGACAAACACTCCCCTTTTAAACTTCCACTATAATTTTCAACCATTTTTTACTTCTAACAAGCTATAATCTTCGTTGAAACTGTCCACTTAATCACATACATGCTAAATAACAACTTAAATTAAATTATTAATTAATTACGATAGAACTAACAAAAAACAAATAAATTGGAATTTGTGTTTAATACGTAATTTATTATATTTTATTTTATTTGGTGAGTTAGTACACTGAATTTCACTGAATTCTAATTTTGGATCATTCTGTATATAATAAAATTAAAAATATGATTGCATCAATTGTAACAAACTGACAACGTTGAATTAGTTGCCGATTTCAGCCATAATTATACGTCATTAAACATTAGACCATTTTTCTATTAATGAACTGATATTTTCCAACTTGTCATTTGGTCTGACTGCACAATATCTTATATTATACCGAACTAAGAATGTGTAAGAAATAATAAATTAAATTATCGTTTGAGATTTAAAACATTTAACATACTCTTAAATGGTATCACTATTTTTTTGTTCAATTACAGAGAAATAATAATATTAGTCTGTGATCCAAGCGTCGTACGGGATATTATCAAACAATGTTTCGACAAAGTTTGACATTATCGCTATTAATTTTCGTTTTAAGTCGGGTTTCATTTCTTTGAGAAGATCTTGAGCATTTGTGTTGATGAATAAATTCAATGCGGCTTCTACAATCAAAAATTTAGAAACATTAAAACAATAAAATAAAGGTATAAAGTTTGGTTATGTTGTTAGTATGAAGTTTTATTACGTGTGAAGGTGAGAGTTGTAAAGTAATAAAGTGTATTGACATACCGATGACTGCATTGCTGTTGTGCAGATTGTCAACACCCATTTTGATGTCCTTGATGCTGAAATCCATCTTCAATTGGTCTAATTCAAGGTATGTTCGGCCATTACGAGGAATAGGATTAGCTTTCAAGTAAATTTTAGCTTTTACACCCTCTAAAATCAAGAATTTTAGTAAAATAATATTTTTTTTAATTTTTTTATTTTACCATATTCTCCCCAGTAATTTCCTCCACCGGATGCTTTAACCAAAATTAAAACACCACTGGATTCATACAGAGCCCGCGCGGAAATGTGTGGAATGTAAAGTAATGGAATTGATGAGTGTCTACGTCAGATCTGCAATGAAAATTAAATATTCAAGTAATGCGTAAAACTGCGCCTAAAATATGCAAATCAATGTCAACAACCACATTGTTCACATAACAACACATAACTTATGAATAACAATGTACGTGACTTAATTTAATTTCTTTTTCTGATTTTTTAAAGGAACTGAATTTTTATTTACCTGACTGCTGTCATAGTCAAATTGCTCACACCAAAAGCATTAATTTGTCTAAATTTCGCTCTGTATCCATCTGGTCCACTTCCCAAAGCAATCCCAATCTCATCAATAAGAATTGGTTCTGGTTTTTCAATTCCCAACTCAGGAATTCCTCTGGATCTAATATAATGCATGAGATTATTCGCTGAATTCACCAAACAATCGTTTACATCCGGATCGGATCGACTGCATTGTTGCAGATAATAATAAGCTGTAAATAATTATTTAGAAATGTTTTATTGATGTGTTACAATTCATTGAAGCGGATTCATACAGAGCCCGCGGAAATGTGTGGAATGTAAAAGTAAACTGGAATTGATGAGTGTCTACGTCAGATCTGCAATGAAAATTAAATATTCAAGTAATGCGTAAAAACTGCGCCTAAAATATGCAAATCAATGTCAACAACCACATTGTTCACATAACAACACATAACTTATGAATAACAATGTACGTGACTTAATTTAATTACTTTTTCTGAATTTTAAAGGAACTAAATTTTTATTTACCTGACTGCTGTCATAGTCAAATTGCTCACACCAAAAGCATTAATTTGTCTAAATTTCGCTCTGTATCCATCTGGTCCACTTCCCAAAGCAATCCCAATCTCATCAATAAGAATTGGTTCTGGTTTTCAATTCCCAACCCAGGAATTCCTCTGGATCGAATATAATGCATGAGATTATTCGCTGAATTCACCAAACAATCGTTTACATCCGGATCGGATCGACTGCATTGTTGCAGATAATAATAAGCTGTAAATAATTATTTAGAAATGTTTTATTGATGTGTTACAATTCATTGAAACGTGATTTAATGCTAACGAAAGCCATACGGTTAAAACAGGTCTCGCACCTAACGGTACTTGATTTTAACTTGACCACTCGTCATTCTTCAACTGATTTTCTTTCATTTTATTGATAAATAGTAGAAAACTTACGATTTCTTCCATTTCTTGCAAGTGTATCACCGCAGAATGCACTTAGGAGGATAAAAAATGAAATTTTGAACATTTTGATATAGTTTTGGTGGATGCGGCCGTTGGTAATTGTCGACCGACACTGACTGAGTGGCTGGAATTCGTCGACGCAGTGCGTCCTTAAATAAAAAGCGCAGACACTATCGTACACGTTGAGAACTCGTCTTCTGGAGCAGCGAAGGTGTGCGAGTAGGTTGGCGCGACGACAACCTGCCGAGCCGAAGAGTTCCGTTGTGGGCTCTAGTTCTTTGACGCGATGGACGCGCTTCTTTGCCAACTGACCTCTTACACGCTTGGCCGTGACTTTGTCGTTCGGCTGCTCGTCAAGTACGCGGAGTATTCATTCAATGCTCGCTTCTTTTGTGCTCTTTTGCTACGAATCTTCAGGTAAAGTGGGGAAAAGTAAAAGATCTAATACATTCATTGTTAGATTTAAGTTTTTTTGGGTAAAAATACCGAAAAACTACAAGAAACAGCACTGGACGAATATTAACAGTGTTGCCGTTTTGTTCAGTAAGATATAACCTACATAAATATTGTGGTTATGTTGTCAAGTAGGAATAATAGTCATAAACTTGGCAACAGTGACTATCACTAAAGAAGAAAGTGTAAAAATTGCCTGCACACAATGAACTACATAAAAAAGAAAACTTGGATTGTAATTACCACAATAATTACAAACCACAACAATTTAAACATTCATGAAAATATATTAATCGTGTTTTATGCTTTTACAATCTTCTTGTAAGGCATTTATTGTAGTGTTAAAACAAAAATGTAAAAGTTAATGACATCATTCAAAAGTCAAAGCCAACAACCAAAAACAAAAATAATCTTTATATCTTTTTAATTCTAAGAAAAGCATTAAATGACTCGAAATTTAAACATTGCTTGATGTATGGATTGCTGGAAAGATAACCTTGTTTATAAAATTTCTAACAAAAGCTTTTGACTTCCACGAAAAACTTTATTTACGCTTATAATCTTGAATGTAAACATATATAAATAAGTTTACGTAAACAATAGATTTTCCCTGTCATTTGTAGTGAAAAATTGTTATTAAATTCTCTAGTTTGTTTAAATTATAGTAATGAGACACATGTGCCATGTGTACTTTTTGCATTTCTCAACATTCATCAAAACACATTTTTCTCGATTTCTGGAACAAACTGCCAATTAATTTACTATCAAATTATTGTAACGCAAATGCATCATAAAAGCATGCAAATTTCTCGCACGCAAATTAAATTTGTTGGAATATCGACAAACTCAAAGTGCAAACTGAATGGCTGCAGTCATGATTATGTTTGTAATTATATAGCTAATTGTCAATTAGTTACGCTTTGCGCTTTGCTGTTTTCTCCATTAATAAAAATAAAATAAAAATGAATCAAAATAGAATTAGTGATCATGCAAGGTTGTCAGTTATGATTTATCAAATAAAAATGAATCGCAAAAATCTGAAGCGCATAACTCAACATCGCCTAGACGAATTTGGCCAATTTTTTTAAAATTGTTTGTTTAAGTCCAAGGATGGATTTTATGACAAGAAAAATTCAAATAATTGCCGGGAAAACCCTAAAGACAGCTCTTTTCTATAGGATAAAAGTTGGAATTGAGATTCAATCATAGTTATAGTTAAATAGTTGAATCCGAGATGGCGGGCTAAAATGCATTATTAGCAATTCTTTATATAATTAATTTCTTTAAAATAAAATTGCGAATCTTTTTGATAGAATTGACACATACTATGTCTAGAACAAGAGAGTAAAAACGAATTACATTTTAATTAAACACTACCGGGGCGAAGTCGTGGGCTAAAACTAGTTTCAAATAAAATCAAAATAATATCTTTAATTTTCTATAATTTTTGAATTATACAAATTATTATTTACTTAAATAATACAAGTTATAAACTTTTATGTAGGTATATGTTTAATTATTTTATAAACAATTAATTTAATGTGTTGTTGACATGACTTAAATATAAATGTTTCTTACACGTTACGAAAATGAGATGTATACAATTAATACAGATTAATTGGTAAATTGCGAGTTTGTTCGTTGTTTTATTGCTTTTTAGGCACATAAAACACGTCCACTGGCAAATTAGACAAGAGTTGGTTAGCGATACTTTGGAACAGATTCGACAATTTGCGTTTCAATTGAGGAAGCATTGCTTTTACCACTTCTTGACCGTTTTCTCTTAGGAACAAATTCATTGCTTCACCTAAAAACAATAAAAACGTATATTTAACCTACATTCATAGTAATAATACAAAAACAAGTTGTAATACTATCTAGTACGTAAACAAAGTGATTAAAGTAATAGAGTTATGAGATGACGAATGAAAACATACCAATAATTCGATTGTTTCTATAAATATCTTTAACGGCCATGCGCACATGCTTAATGTCGATGTCCACTTGAAGCGTGTCAACGTGCATGTAATTCTGACCCTCCTTTTTGGGACACGCTCACAATTCACTATGGCTGTCACATCCTCTAAAATCAACGTAAACGTCTTATACCACACTGCATATTAACACAAGACAGCAAAATAAAGGTCTTGTATCTTCCATATTTGATACTCATTTTACAAGTACGAGGTAATTTAAGAAAATATTTCCTTACGAAATTTGCCATGAAAAGTGCCATTTCCGCATGGGATAATCAACAAAACTCCACTGCTTCTGTATTTTGATGTCATACGTAATTCAGGCATTTTAATCCTTGCTTCCAAATGGTTTTCCGGTACTACTCAATCTCAAATTAAAAACAAAATTACCTTGTAAGTATTTTTAAATTTAAAAAATCATAAATATTAATATCGTACTTCATTTTAGTCACGGTGAAATTCACTCTCGCACACCATAAACATCAATATCAGCTAAAGTAACACGATATCCATTGGGTCCTGACGTCGAGAGAGTATTAATTCATCCCATACGGAATGGTTCCACTGGTAGCAATTCAATTTCTTTGGTCCCGTCGCCAAATAAGGTTGTAAATATTTGCAGGGATCCAATAAAGCATTTGATTAGTTCTGGATCGCCTTCATGACACTGCTTTTACATATGGTGCTAAAAATTATAGTACTATTGCGTTAAATTGAATATGGGAACAAAATATAACGATTTGTAGAAATACAGTAATATTTATTTTGAAATAAACCAAATGTTCCATGTATAATGTTAATATTAAGCTGTGTTAATAAATCATAACCTTGCAGCGTTACTGTAATGTATATATGGTTGCCTAACATCAAACAATTATTCCCAATATGTTGCCTTTTGCTTTAGATCTATGAATGCAACAAATGCTAAAATCAAATAAAACAATAAATTTCTTATGAGTACACATAATCCTTCAGGTGTAAATTTAATTGAACCTCAAATAAATTTTTGCAATGTACGCATTTTTCAATTGCAATGAATTGTAATGTAATGTAATGTAATAGAGACTTGTTAATTGACCAATAGGCAATACGTAGCGCAG